CATTTGTAAAACCAAATCCTCATTTAAATGAAACATAAATTTTCAGTAATAATAAATTCCTTTCTTAGCATCTTCTTTTCTTCTATATGCCAATCAAGGGAAAGATTCATTTTGGTTGGGACACTGGGTTGTCTGCTTTTTTAAGATTAGGCTGATACCTGCTTCTTCCTTTTTAGATCTCTCTCCCTATTTTCAGATGCCTAACAATTCTTGGGTAAACAAAACTTTTCACTCCACAGGTAGGAATTAAAGATTTAAAATACACATGAGCATACCAGGCTGCTCAGTAAATATGAAATGAATAAATGATGCCTCTAAAATAAATATTTCCAATATAAATGTTTTACAACCTAACTCATTTGCTAAAACTATTTGGTTTGACTAAATTTGAACTCAAATGTAACCATTTGAATATTTCATGCTAAAAATCTGAAAATGTATATTGCCACAATATTTTTTAGAATGGTGAATGCACCCTTACATGTGTTGGAAGAGAATACAACAGTGTGGAATCCTCCTTTGATACAAAGAAGCACCCAGCTCTAAAGAAGACAGAACATGTGGGAAGAGAGTTTCAAAATTCACCTGACGACTAAGAGCAATGGAGCCACAGCTTACAAAAAGAATCATTCCCATTTCCAATGTTAACAGATTTTAACTGAGTTTCCCCTCAACGCATTTGAATAAGACTTCCACATTTAATGAGTTTGAATACAGGAGTACTAGTAAATCTGAAAAAAAAAAGAATATATTTGAAAAATATTCTGTACTCAAAACATTTCCTATAAAAATATAATCCTTTCCATTTAAAACACCTTATATAACAATACGCAAAAACGTTCATGGCTTTTCTTCATGTGTTTGATTTTACTACCAATTTTTTTTAACTGTCTACAGTCTTGTCTAAAATTCCAGAAGCCAGACCCTGTCTAGAATGGAGAGTTTCGGTCTCAGCAGGATTCTCTTTTCTGAGGGAAAAGGTATTCCTTGTCATTCTTGTTTCAGGCTGGGGGGAAATGGCCAGGAATTTTCACAGGTAGATAGACTCCTTTGGTCCACTTGCTAAATATCTGGAATCAAAATATGCCCTCACTGGACTGGGTTGTGAAAGGAATATTTGTTCAGTCCTCCCATTTGGGGGTAGATGGATGCCCCCAAGTAGGAAATGTGAATGTCTGTCCAAGAAGTGTGGGAGTGTCTGCCATGAGTTCCTGTCCAGAGCATTTCTCTCATTGGGCTGGTGCATCTGGAATTCCTCAGCTTCCTTATAAAAATGTTGATGTCTATTCAGATTTTCTGAATCTTAACAATGATGGTCAGATGCCTGTGGCCCACTATTCCCTGGATGAGAGGCTGGCAGCCCTCAGGACCACTTATTCTGCTGTCTGTCACCCATCATCAGAGATTTAAAAACAGACTGGTCAAAATCAAGTCTTGATAGACGATGTGCAAATGTTTATTTAGTCTGAGGTATTTCTGATCTGTGTTTCTTTCTTTTGACAACTTAAACTGATCCTTCTAGGTTCTTTGGTCCAGGTTGGTCCTGACAAAATGAAGTATGAGCTACTTTTTCTATCTTGGCTCTACAAAATGTAGGACTTTTTTTCTGATATTAATATGAAGAGAAGTTATGAGGAACTTAGGGCAACTGAAAGTGATAGAATGATTGTACCTTTTAGAGAGATAAGAAATTTATTCCAAGCACACTGCATGAGACATGGCTGTGATTAAATATGCATCAGAGTTACACATTTTATTCTAATACCCCCATGCACTCAAATCCCAGGTTTCTCACCATATCTGTGTAGTAAAGGTCAAATGGAGAAAGTACAACCTATAATTGGTCTGAGTATTTCCATGATTTATCCCGCCATACCTGGATTACTTTCTTCTTAAGATATAGTTTGTTTATCCCATAATTAGGAAGGATTGAAACCTATAATTAATATATATATAGAAATTTTGATACAATGATCCATCAGGATCCTCTGTGAGCATCAGGCTAGCAATTAAGGCTAGTTCAGCTTTTCAAGGCAAGAGGAAGGACAGTCCCCAAAAGGGAATGAGTACCATGGAGATGATTTTGTAATTTAGGGAATATCTCGGGAGCCAAGAATTTAAATGAAGCACTTGACCTTACCCAACCTTTTGGTATTCCATAATTCCAAACTGTCTTAGAGTTAAAAGATGATGCACAGAATCTGTTTGCCAAAAGACATTTCTAACTTATTAAATATCAGCATATCAAGGAGGAAAATGACTGGAAATTTTATAGCTGCTTACATTGGGCAACAGCCAAAACAAAACATTCATTGTTACTGAGTAACCCTTCATGTATCTAAGCAGACTGATTTTCAGATAAAATGCATGTATAGACTCAGCATCTGGAAAACTTCTAATAATCTGCAAAATCTTCATTCAGTTTTTAACAGTAATAACCACAGCTATTAAAGTGCTTGGACTGCACTTCCATGAAGGCTGTTTTGGGTGAAGTAAGGGAAGCACCATCAGGACCGTACTTCAAACCTGGCAGTGCTCCTCCCACCTGGCAGGTTATTGGAACTGGCAACAGAATCATGGAAGTGACAGGACTCCCACTCTTTACTTGGTAAAATTTTTATGTTTTCATTTATTCTCAAAGTAATGATTTATATTTTTTCTATGTATTTCTCTCTCTAGATATATATAAAGAATTATAACATAGTTACATTTATATTGTTATATAGCATTTATGAAATAGATCATTACTAGAGGCCCAGCACATTAATTTGTGCACAGGTGGTGTCCAGCTGGTCAACTCTGATGGGAGGCGATCCCCTGGCTGACCTGCCCCACCCCCATCAGGGCGGGGGGGATAATCAGGGGCGGGACCAGCTGTGGGGAGGGGCCATGGGTGGTTGGCCGGCTTGCCCTGCCCCTGATTGGGGTGGGAAGTCCAACTAGAGCCCTGATCAGGCTGGTTAGCCACCACAGTGCACGTCATAGTGACCAGTCATTCCAGTCATTCCATTGTTCCAGTCACTTGGCTTTTATATATATATATATCTATATATTTATATCTATCTAATCTATCTATATATCTATATACAAATATATGTGAGAGAGAGGGAAAGAAAGAGAAAAGTTGTGAATATTGGCAAGTCTGAAATCTGCAGGGCAGGTAGTAGCTTGAAAATTCTACCTGAATTTTGATTCCAAAGGCAGTATGGGAGCAGAATGTTTTCCTCTTCTGGGGACCTCAGTCTTTTCTCTTAAGCTTATCTTTGATTATATGAGGCCCATCCACATAATGGAGGGAAATTTACTTTACTCAAAGTCTACTTACTGATTTAAATGTTAATCACATCTAAAATATGCCTTCAAAAAATCTAAACTAATGTTTGACCAAACAACTGGGCACCATGCCTAACTAAGCTAACACATAAAACACTATCTTATGCTTAATTCAAATTGTTGTCACTTAAATATGCTCAGTGGTTGAGCACCAACCTGTGAACCAAAGGTCATGCTTCAATTCCTGCTCAAGGCATATGCCTAGGTTGTAGGCTCTGTCCCCAGCAGGGAGCATGCAGGAGGCAGTTGATCAATGATTCTCTCTCAGTATTGATGTTTCTATCTCTCTCTCCTTCTTCCTCCCTCTCTTAAATCAATAAAAACATATTTTTTAAAATATATTTTATTGATTTTTTACAGAGAGGAAGGGAGAGAGATAGATAGTTAGAAACATCGATGAGAGAGAAACATCGATCAGCTGCCTCCTGCACATCTCCTACTGGGGATATGCCCGCAACCCAGGTACATGCCCTTGACCGGAATCGACCCCGGGACCTTTTGGTCCGCAGGCCGACGCTCTATCCACTGAGCCAAACCGGTTTCGACAATAAAAACGTATTTTAAAAAATATGCTCAAATGAATATGTGCCAAACTATTAACCCACAAAAATATAAAGTATGACTATAGGCTTTCCATAAATTATTCTAATCTCATACTTCTAGTTGTCATTCAGCACCTTATCTAGATTTTGTCTAGAAAAGATAGCATTTGGAAGTTATCTTACTTAGGTCTACACATGTGCCAAAATAGGGCAAAATAATTTAAAACCTAAATCAACCCCATAAATACAGTTTGTCGATTCTTTCCATTCCACCTTTTCCCCAGGATCCTGGCCTTAACCTGACCAAGAAGCATCTATAAGATAGGCTTTCTTTGGCTAGAAAGTTGCATTTCTTATATACATCATTATGCAAACAATATCTTAACTTTTTAATGCAATACTCATACTCTTATCCCAATTGGAGAACAAAACAGAAAACTCTTTCCTTTTACATGAGCTTTAAACTCTGTCTCCTAGACGCCTAAAGATATTCAACATATGAATATGAATCTGTTGCTATTCAATTGATTGATTTTTAAATTATCCTATATAATAAAGAGGTAATATGCAAATTAACCCTCACACCCTCACAAGATGGCTGCCTACGACCAGGCCAGCAGGAGCGATGACCAAACTACTGAACAGCAGGCTACATGGGGCAACCAGGCCACCAGGGAGCAGGCAGTTGGGGGTGACCTGGCCAGCAGCGAGGGACAGTTAGTGGCAACAAAGCTGGGGGTGACCATGTAGCAGGCAGGTGAGCAATTAGGAGCCAACAATCCAGGATTGTGAGAGGGATGTCCAACTGCCAATTTAGGCTGGATCCCTGGGACTGGGCATAAACCGGCAGTCAGACATCCCCCAAGGGGTCCCGGATTGGAGAGGGTGCAGGCTAGGCTGAGAGGACCCACCTACCCCCATTTCCCCATGCACAAATTTCATGCACCGAGCCTCTAGTAATTATTATAAAGCTGTAACAAGACCAGGAATTTCTCAATGTTTAAAACAAGATTTTTTTTCCATCGCCTGTGCTGTTTTCCTATCTCAAATGTGAAAAAAGAAGAGTGGTTGCCTTAGCTTTAATAATCAGGAAAACTTTGATTGTCACTGATTATTAATGAGCCATTAGAATACCTGAAAACCATGGAGTTAAAAAAGAAAAAATACAAAGTAGATTGTTTGGACAATTGCTTGACAGAAATGTTTTACTGCAGACCTGATGGTTTTCGGTAGGCAGTGACTGGTCACTGATGACCAAGAGGCTTTAGTCTAGAAAAACCCTGTATAATAAAAGGCTAATATGCAAATTGTCCCAACGGGCGGGAGTTCGACCAACTGGGAGTTAGACGTATGCTGACCACCAGGGGGCAGCACAAAACATGGCAGGCGTCTGTGACGCAGCTGGCAGTGGGTGGCAGTGGAGGCACTGCCTGGCCCTGATGGGCCCCAACAAGAGCGGGACCACAGTGGGATGGTGGAGCAGGTGAGCGGGCGGCACCAGGCCAAGGCATGTGTGAAGAGAGGCCTCAGCCAGTGGCCGGCAGCCACTAGGGACTCTACCCATACACAAATTTTGTGCACTGGACATCTAGTAATAAAAATTAAAAATAATTGAGTTATGCTCTGTTCTCAGATTAATAAAACTCACCTTATTAGGAAAGAAGTAAAGGTTTCAGGAGAGCACAAAGCAAAATAGAAAAAAATGTAAAATTTCTTTAGGCCTAAGACGTACCTGTTTCTACTATTTTATTTCTAGTTTGCCAACATTTGCCTTTGTGTAACTCCCTTGATGGTGTTATTATAATATTGGCTGCGAGGAGCAGGAAATCTGCTTTTTTGATACTTTAGTGCTATAGCCTCAAATCTTCTTGATCATGTACCCCTATAAATCATTGACCACACAGCTACAATGTATATTAATTTATTTAGAAGTTATACACATGTGCCATTTTATACTATGTACATTATAAGACTACATAAAATAATTTAAAAATATAAGTTCTAATATTTTCCCTGCATCCTAGTGAATTATTTTATACCTCATATGGTACACAGCACCCCATACCCTCCACTTTACAAACCATTGCTTCTGAAGACTCTCTTTCTACCAGCCTTTTGGTTTCAGCAAATTTCCCTTATTTTCAATGAAAAAACAATATTTCCAACTCCTTATCCCTCACTTTTCTTTTCTAAAAATCCAGGTTGCCTCTATTTGATTCTTCCAACTATTATGTAAACCTGTCACTATCATACTCTGAATATACCCTTAGTAAAGCCTCCCTTATTTCTACACCAAATGAGTGGATATATTTCAAACTCTATACTTAACCTTGCAGCAACACTAAATACTATTAACCACATCTCCTTACAATGCTTTTTTTTTTCTTTATTTCTATCTCAGTCTGGTATCATTAGCTGCTGGAACCCCAAACACTCTGGACCTCTGAGGGGCTGGAACCAGAAAGTGACAACTGCTCACCTAAATTTCTTTCTCAAGCACCCTATGCCCACTGAATAGCTCTTCACTCCTCCTCTTTAGCACTGGCTGGCTCTCCTGACCCTGGCTTCACATGGCCTCTGGTTCAAAAGTTCAGTGTAATGATTAGCATTCTCTTACAGTCACACCCATCAAGGAGAGAAAATCTGCTTGACCCAGCTTGAGTCTTATGTCAAGTCCTGGTCTCCAGTTAGCTGTGTCCAGTAGTTTGAGGTCTTCTGAGGGAACAGACTCAGATTGTGGTGGAAGGGTAGGCATGTTCCCTCACATAGCGACAGAGAGAGCATGATTTGCCTCTCCAGGACAACTTCTGTGGCTCTCCTCTATGCCAGTGGTTCTCAACCTTCCTGATGCCACGACCCTTTAATACAGTTCCTCATGTTGTGGTGACCTCCACCCATAAAATTATTTTCGTTGCTACTTCATAACTGTAATTTTGCTACTGTTATGAATCATAATGTAAATATCTGATATGCAGGATGTATTTTCATTGTTACAAATTGAACATAATTAAAGAGAAGGCGCAACACAGTCTCAGACAGAACAGGATATGATGGCAAACACTTGACCAGAATTTTGTAACTGGCATTGTAGAGAAATCAGTTCTTGCTGCATCATTGTTATTAAGTTCAATGAACTCCTCTTCTGCTGTCTCAGGAACATCTTCAACTTTGACTCTGAATGGGCTTCTGGCAAGTGCAAATGGGGTGTCAGGTAGATTTGGAAAGTACGATGAAATTTCGTCTGCAAGCATGTGCAAGTGTTCTTTCACAGAAAATATCATTGTAATCCTTTGTCTGGTTCAATGGCATGTTCCTCAAAGAAAGCAGATAAGGTAGGCAACATGTAAATTTTATTTTCATCCAAATTGTTTTTTTGCCAAAGCTGAAGTTTCATTTGGAGTGATCGGATCTTTTCAGACAAATCGAGGCATCTTTCATTTGGTCCTTGCAGTGATAAATTTAACTCATTCAAGATGGCAAAAATGTCAACCAAGTAAGCTATTTTCTGCAGTTCACTTTTATTGCCTAAAATTGCTTCGAACTGTGGTCTTGCTTTCTGATTAAAAAACGTTTTGAGTTCATCACGAAGCTCAAAAACACGTTTTAAAATTTTCTCTCTCAACAACCATCTCACTTCACTGTGAAATAGCAGAGCATTGTTTGGTGCATCCAACTCATTGCATAGTTGCAAAAACAGTCGACTATTTAAAGTGCTCGCCTTTACAAAATTGACACAACTTAAGATGCTTTTCATTACTTCTTGTAACTCTTGTGGCAGTGTTTTCATTGCTAATATTTGCCAATGAATCATACAGTGAATTCCGATGACTTTTGGTGACTCATTCAATACCAAACATTAAAATCCAGATCGACATCCTAGCATAGCTGGAGCACCATCTGTGCAAACACCACAAACCTTTTCCCAAGAGATCTTACGCTCTTTCAGCAATGAACCAACTGTGTCAAATACATCACATGCAGTAGTTGTCGTTTCAAGAAGTTTGCAAAAAAGAAACTCATCTTTAAAGATGCCATCATTAATATACCTCACATAAACCAGTAATTGTGAACAGTTTGCAACGTTTGTAGATTCATCAAGCTGGATACTAAATATTGGAAGTGGAGCAGATTTAATTTCCTGGATTACCTGATCAAGAATATCAGCAGACATGTCATCTATTCTTCTGCAGACAGTGTCGTTAGATAAGGAAATTGCACTTAATTTCATAACAAATCTGCCTGCGATCATAACTCGAACAATGACTTTGGCCGCTGGCAATAGTAAATCCTCAGGAATGGTGTGAGGTTTCATAGTTCTGGCAATTCT